TGGGTGTCACTCAACCCTTCAAGGGGCCAGAATAGAACCAGAAAGTGGAGAAAGGACAAATTTGCTCTTTTCCTTGTGCCAGGACATCCATCTTCTCTTGCCCTTGGGTATCAGCCCTCCTTTATAGTCTGGTCCTCAGCCTCAAACTAGAAATGGTGCCATTGATTTCTCTGGGTATAAACTAGATCCCCACCACTGGAAGATCATGTGACTTCTCACCACCATACTTGTAATAACTGATCCCTTATAATAAATCTCTTTCTATGTATCTGTCTATGACCTGTTGATTCTATTCTCTGGAGAATTCTGACTCACACACTTTGAAAGCCATTGTAAATATCCCTGTCATTAAACATTTCTTGGTGACCTTGTCAAGCAGGTCTTGTCTTTTCTTATGAGACCCTACCTGACACAGAGTCACTTAAAGCAGTCCACCATATAGATAATAAAGATCTGCATTAAGGCACCCATCAGAGAGATGAAAATGAGGGCATGATGTCTTTGAGCTCTCTCTCCCAAGCCCACTCAGCACAACTTCAACACCCATGAACAAGGGTGGCTGAGGTCAACATCACTACCTTTCCCCAATATTTCTGTGACTTCATCTCACATAGTGTCTGCTCTCCCCCTAGCAAGGCAAAGACCGTTTGCAATCTCATTGGAAAGGCTCTTTGGCCTTCTGTGAATTATCTACAGGAGGGTCAGCTACTGCTGTGGAATCAGAAGGCCGGATAGTTAGCCACTTGGGAGATGTTACCAAGATGGTTGGTAATCAGAAGAGCTGCTTATTTTCATAATGACCTTCAGGAATTAAATAAAAATACAATGAGTGCCATAGATTAGGAAGAACAAGGCAATTAAAAGCACAACATGCCTTTGGGATTTTATATTTCTTTTCCAGGAGGCTGAAAGGCATCTGTAGCTGCTGAGGCAGGGTGGTGGTCTACCCAGAATCACTGATGAAGGCTGATCCTCTCCTTGGCTTTAGCGGGTGGTTGAGGGGATTTGAGCCTATTGAATATTTCACGAGTTGCAGCCCACGCAGAGAGAACAGTGAAAGGTGAAAAGGCAATCCCTGTGTTTCTTTATGATTCCAATATAAAACGAAGATACTTGGAGAGGGAGGGAGGCAGGCACTGGAGTCAGCCCACTGCCGGGAGGCATGGTGCACCAATTCTCCCACTTTAATATCTGCTGTTTCATTTTATATTCATCATGTCAGCATAATCTGCCTTTATGGGAATCGTCTTGGTTTCCGACCAAATGCGTTTAGTCCCCCTTTTGCTTTAAGTTTGATTGTAATATGACTTGAAGACTTCAATGAAATGTTTATATGGAAGGACTAGGGGAAGAGGGAAGGGAAAATGCAAGTGGAAAATCAATCAGCAGGGAATTTCAAGAGCTGGCCTTGGGTACGCTGTTATTTCTTTGACCTGTTTTTAATGGACACACGACCTGCTCTTCGATCAAGTATACTCCACTGATTCCTACTGCATACTGAATAAAATCAACTTTTTCACTAAACATGGAAAGCCCTTGACTCCGTCTGAGCTACAGTTCCATCCCCACATTCCACTGTATTCCTTACACGTGCAGCTCCATCACCTGGCATACCCAGTCCCAGCCTGTCCCTGTCCCCTTCTCTCTCTGGGGCCAGCATAGTCATTCTCTATGATGCTCACATCACCCCATTCTGGGATTAATTTTTGTCCGCTAAGTAAAAAAAAAAAAAAAAGTTCCAATGGAACTTTACTTTCTCCTTAATTCTCTAATGAGATTTGACTATATCCATTCTTTTGTTCTAAGTGCAGGTGCATGTGTAAGCGTGTTTGTGATCATGTGTGTGTCATCCGTAGCATTTCAGTGCTGACTTAGTGAGCATTTATTACATGCCAAACCCTTTTCAAAGTGCTTGAGGTATGGCAGAAAACAAGGTATGCAAGATCTCTGTTTGGCAGAGACAGACATGAAATGCACATTCAAGGAAATACTCCCTCAGTGAACAGTACTCTAGAAAGTTTTTGTAAAGGAAATATGGTGCAGAGTGGGTCTGTGGAGAACAGCACTTCCGCTAAGGCTGGTGTGGCCTCTCTCTGTGCATGTATCCTTTGGATTGAGACAAATGCTGAGAAGAAGCCACCTGTCAAAGTTCTAGATAGAAAGTTACAGATCGAGGGGACAGAAATTATATATGTTCTGAGGCAAGGCGACACCTGACCTGTTTGAGGACTGTGTAAGTCTTGGAGGGACTGGACTACCCAAGGAGGGACAGAACAGGCTGAAGCATAGGGACTGGCCTGAGTCTTAGCAAATCCAAAATGTGCCCTGACTGGCAGTGCCAGTCCTGCTGTTGAGGGCCAGGTGGCTGCTGAAGGCAAAGCTGTATTTCAGTTCCTTCCTAACTTTGAGCTGCTTGACTGCCTACTACGAAGCCTCTCAACCAGACATGCTGAAGCCCACAAGCCTGCAAACCTGTGGAGTATGAGTGAAAGAGCAAAAGAAGGACCAGGCCGCCTGCCTCTGCTAAGGCAATTTCCCTTTTGAGGCCCCCAGCCCCTCCTCGCCTCCCCAACAGCAGTTTCTTTTCTGTGTAATAGAGTAAGTCCGGAGCTGTTCTCTGTGATTCAATATTTACTGTGTTTCACACACTGTTATTATCACTTAACGTTTACTGTCTGCTGACGGTGCATTCATCGCCATAGCAAACAAAGAGCTCAATCTAGTTTTGGTTCTGGGGCTAATTTAGTGAAGGAAAAGGCGACATAAAAGCAACTGACATATTAGAAATTGCATGGGCTGGAAATCCCCTGGGTCCAGCTGAGTACAAATTCGCCAGCGACCTTAAGCAAGGGAGTAACCCTCGGCGACCTGGCTTTGTCATCTCAACACAGGGACGGCAAGCCTCTCTAATGGGGGGACTGCAGCCTGGGAGAGCACCAGGCAAAAGGGGGCTTCTGTTTACACTAGGCTGAGTCGCCCAGAGGTCGCCAGCCCTGGGGCCTTCTGCCAGCCATTCTGGAGACCTTCCACAGTGCCCATTTTGAGCCAGCAATAGCACAGACCCTCCTTAAGCTGCTATGTGAGAGAAAACTCTTTCCCGAGATGGTGGTCAGCCCTGGCTACCCCGAGTCTCTGGTTCTAGACTTCGCTGCACTGCAAGCAAATGAGAGTGGGCTGAGCAAGGTCGTTTACCCAAATAGCTTCACCTTGGCTTGGCACAGTTGGCCAGCTGCCAGAACAGCTGCTGCCAGGGCCTCAGGTGCTGAGGCTGGGAGGTGTGGAGTGCTGGGGCGGGAAAGGCTGGGGAGAGAGACCTGCTGCATAGACTGGGCACCCAGCCAGTCTGCTCCCCCTGGGACCCCATCATGAGCCCTGGGGATTTTCTGGGGCCTGTGTTGGAAGGGCCGATGAACTCGTGTGGTAATCTGTGCAGCTGGAAAGTCCAAGGAGGCCTTCACTTGGAAGAATAACTTACGGTGTTCTGGACACTTTGTCTTTTAGGGAAAGAGGTGGGCAGGGCTTCAGAAGGTTTAAAGTGAGGAGAGGCAGGAGCTGACATACGCCGTGGTGGGATTATACTGGCTTCTATTGAGAACAGACAGAAGAGGGTGTGGAGGGTGAACAAGATCATATCCCTATTAGCAATAAAGCTAATGATTACTATTGAAGGATAACTTTTTGTAGCATTTATAAAGTGCTCTTTCCCTAAAGACTTTTATTGTAAACCTCAGAGTTAGTCTATTGGGACGGACATCACCGGCATAATTCAGTAGACTCTTGTGAACATATTTCATGTTCTCATCACTTAAAGGTGACCCATTTTCATTCATTTGCCAAATGAGGGGGCTTCCTGGGGCAGGGAGAGAGATGATCGGGTCAGGAGAATTTCTAACTCAGCTTCCATTGATCTTCAGCCTTGGGTGCTCCTTGCGTATGCGGGGGCCCTGCCCACTCCCTACCACACACACCGCAGGCTATGGGCACTGTAAGAATGCTCTCCCTGGGTTAACTGAATTTCTCAGGAAGCGGGTATTGACCCTTCTCCTTTATTCACAAGTCATGTCGACAGGCTTTGTCCTTCTAGAATATCAGGGATACATCGCGCCCATTAACAGCACCATGAAACGATTGTATGATCCTAAGGCCAAGCCAGTTTTGGCATCCATGCTGTGGCCCTTCCTAGTTAATAAGGGACTATATTAGAACTATAAGACTGAACAACACTGCTAGCAGAATGGTAGTTACTTCTCTAAGAGTATCTATGGAGAGAAAATCAGTGTAGAGGCAAAGTTAGGGCCTTCAAGTCAGGAGACCTGACTTCACAATTAACTAGAAAGTCTTATCTTTTGATTGAGAACTCTGGGCTGGGACAGTGGCTTCAAGCAGCCTTAAGCTATGGGACCCTCAGCCAATACCCACTTGTTTGGGAGTGCAGGCAAACACTGCAAGGAAAGGTATCTGCGCTGATGAAGGCAGGAACAGCCAGCCTAGAACAGTCCACTTACCAAGCTCCTTCTCCATGAAGGACAGTCCAGCCCAGAGGCACCTTGCTTGGGCTGGATGTTCTCTTGGACCTCTCCGGCCTGAGACTCTGGTTCCGCAGGATCCACGTGCACCCTGTAGTGCCCACACACTGGGCGCCGTCTCATGGCTGTCCTTCCAGCATCTTCCTCCAGCTCCGTGACCTTGAAGGAGGTAAACGCATTCTCCCTTCTGCTTAGCTTGAGTCCGCTGTCAGGTACCCACCTGGCCTTAGCAGGCATGGCGCTGCACCCCAGAGCCCCAGACAGACTTGGGTTCAAGTCCTGCTGCTCTGTTGGGACAGATCTTGATCACAGTTGACCCATCTACATGGGTGTGATTTTCTGGCTTGTAGACTTGACGTGGGGGAAGTCAAGTGGTATAAAGTTGGTGCCTTGGGAGCTCCTGCATGTGTGTGCTCTCCTAGAAGCTTTGGGCCAGGCAGGCTGCTCATTGGTGCCTTGGGTCTTGTCTTGCAGAGATGTCTGGGACGGCGGCGGACATCTCGCTGGTGCATTGGCGGCAGCAGTGGCTTGAGAACGGTACCTTGTACTTCCATGTCTCCATGAGCAGCTCGGGGCAGCTGGCCCGGGCCACTGCACCCACACTCCAGGAGCCCTCGGAGATTGTTGAGGAACAGATGCACATTCTCCACGTTTCCGTGATGGTGAGTGAGAGGGGATAGGATGGGGAGGAGAGGGTACTGGGGACGGTTGGAGGAGTGGAGGGGTGAGGTGGCGAGGTCATGGAGGGCGGTAAGGGCTGGTGAGCTGGGGGAGGGAAGGGGCTGGTCACGTGTGGGAAGTTAGAATGACAAGGAGAAGGTCAGATGGATTCGTGGTGTCACTTGGATGGATCACACCCATCTGTCACCTGTCATCTGTGACAAACTAATTGTGTTTCAGAGAAGAAAATAAAGGGGCCCCAACTCCTTGGCCTTTTGGCCGACATCTCTGGGAATAGCTGTTTAACATCTGTCACGTGTGTGGCCTGCCTTGCTGAGGGCTGAAGTTCAGTGCTGCAAAATACAACTGGCCTTTTACAGAATCTCAGAACAAACAGCATCAGGACACCATGGGAACTGGCTTCCCTTCCCTGTGTGGCCTCGATGTGCAGGTGCTTTAACCCCTCGCCACAGCCCTTGCGGGTGAGCACACATGGTGTGCCCTGGGCTGGGGTGGGCATCAGCTCAGGCAGGTCATGCCTGCAGTACCTCCCCCACTTTATGGCTGTGAAAGTGAGTGAGAGGGATGAAGAGACACAGCAGGGGCTCTCCTGGCCAGAGGTGGGGCTGCTCCTGGATGGTGGCCCCGGGCACATGCCTGAGCTACATCCTTGACGCTGTGCGGCACCGATTCCATGCAAACCCGTGGGCATTATCTCATCGCTCTGTGATGGGGCACACTGCACACCGCCTCCTGAGGAGAGACGAAGTACTGGGTGCGGAGGTAAAAAGGGATTCCTTCTCGGTTGTTCCCAAAAGCTAGAAATTGGAGTCTATTTTCTCCGCAGAGAAGTCTCCAAAGGCTGAACTCGTTTGAATAGTAGCTGAAAATGTATGTAGACACCAATTAATGTTTCTTTTAAAAGCTGTAATTGAGGGCTTTGCATGACAGAGAGTAAAAAGCAAATTCAGGATGCAGAAAGTACAGGTCCTACGGGCTCAGGAAGACACCGCGTAACACCCCCACAGTCTGTGTGCTGTCTGCTCTGCACGCCACTCTGACGCCATTTTCTCCTTTTCCTTTAGCAACGCTGGGCTGGAGGCATGAGGGTAGGAAAGGTCATTCCCAAGTATGTGAGATGGGGTATGGCCCAGAGAAGTGAAGTGCTTGGCATTTGGTCCCTCGACAGAGGCGGGTGACCCCACCCCACCTCTTCATTTCTCCTTCCCTTCAGCAGCCAACAGACGTGTTGTCTCTGATGGTGTAGCCTCTGGTTTTGATCTCTGTCCTGTTGGTTCCTCTTCAACAACACTGATCACTAGACATGCTGATGCAGGCTGAGTAAGAACTTGGGAGTTTTCTCTTTTGGGAAAAATGCACACATACCCCAGCCAGGCAGCGACGTTAATTTTGGACCTAATGCATGCACGTCACGTGGAAGAACAAATCAAGGCCTTTGTGTTATTCATGGAATGAGTGTGATAGACTTTTCCCATATGTATATTTAGCAAATGATGCAGCCACACGTCAAGCCCAGTGGGTTCCTGCATGCTAACTTTGGGGTGCAAGTTTTGTAGGCATCACCCCAGGACACTCGGGACCCGCTGTCCTCACCTAGCAGAGGCTGCAACACCATCTGAGATTTGGAAGGATGGAGGGGGTGCGGCCACTCTTCTTCTTTTAGTGCTTGAGGGTAAGACTTGGTTTTAATTAATGTTTGTGAATCTTGCTCTGGGCTTCAGCACCGCATCTGCTTACATACAGCCCCCCGATAACCCAGGAACCTCTGGAGTATTATCGCAGGCAAACTGACCTCGGCTAGGCTTTCTCTGTGCCAGACACAGGGTTAGTTCCACTAAATCAGACAGTCTCCCCAAGGACTTGGAGAGATCCTCACTTTTCCCCTGGATCTCCCATGCCCTCACCTTAACCTCAAGAGACAGAGTCCAGTCCAGGAAACTTTGGTGTTGGTGGCTGGTGGCTCAGCCATCAGGGTTGGGGCTCACCTCCAAGAATGCTGCCCCCTGTCTTGGGCAGGATGACATGGAGGCTATCAGCATGGATTCTTGAGCCCAAGAGCCTGTTGAAAAGGGCCACTTGGCCACTTGACCCTCACTCTGGAAGTCCTTGTGCAAATTACTGACCTTCTCTATGCTGTGTTTTTGTCATCTATAAAGTGACATCAATCATGCTAACACTTTCTGTGTGGGCACACAAGCACTTGGACAAGGGGAGCTGGCACATAAGAACATTAAAATTGTATTTATTAAGGGCACCTCAGTCAAAAAGTTTGGGATGATCTGTTTTACATCTCCCTTTCATTTCATAGATGGGTAAACTGTGGTCTAAACGCAGGCTAATACTTGTCCAGTTCCCCAACCAGGCAGTTGGACTTGGCCTGAGGACAGGTCTCTCTGTGACTTAACCACTGTCTCTGCTGCTCTGGCCATAGGAGGTTCAGCAAGAACAAAGAGTGTTTCCTCTCCTCTAGGCCCCAAGCAAGCATTCAAGGTGGCCTTCATGGTGGCTGAGATCTGTCTCCACATTTCACAGAAATCTGAGGTGCCATGAGTTTTATCATTTTGCTTCAGGGCATATGTCTTCTCCAGATGCTTGGGGACCAGGCTTCCCCCACGATTCCAAACTGGCATGTCGTGGTTGCTCAAGGGTTATCCCATCACATGGTTACTCAAGGTTATTCTCATCACACGGCTTCCACATCGTTTTCACGTTTGGTAAAGATCCAGTTTGAGTTGTAAGAAGACCCAAATCATCCCATCAAATCTCAAAGGGATCTGGAGGCGAGTTTAATGTTCTCAGCCTTCTTTTCTCTTGTTTTCAATTGCATTGTTTTATAGCACTGTCGATGTTCCAGAGGGATAAGACCTTCCCCTCCAGGGCTTGCAGCACCACACCTACCACCAAAGCACCCACTGCCATTGTCCAGCTGAGCCATGGGCACCTGCCTACTGAGCTGGAGCGTGCATGTTCTTCAGGGAACATTACATTTTGATTTGAGCATCTGCTTCATCCCAGAAGGCTGCATCAACTGACTGGTTGTACCCCCAGGGTCCTGGTCAGGAGGGACTCATCACTCCTGACCCAGCAACAGAGAAGAAGGGGCATGTCATCTTGTCCAGTCTCACAGCTCCTATTGTTCCAAGCATCACCTGCCTGTCTCAGGAGAGGAGAGGCTTGGAGTTCAGTCTCTCCTGAATCCTGCAGATTTTTACCTTTGTGGGCATCCCCTCACCTCCCTAAACCTCAGTTTCTCTATCTATGAAACAAAAGCATCCATACAGCCTCGCTAGTCCATTGAGGAGAGTGGAAGGAATATACAGATAGCTCTTACTATCTAGTGTGGTGTGTGCTGGACATACAGTAGCAGTGGGTATTCATCTCATCTCTGCAGCAGTGTTTAAAGCACTCTAATCTACGAGTAGGAAGACATTGGGCTTAGTCTTATTATTGCTGCCATTTTTCTATCTGCTCTAGAAAGATCAATGTCTTAATAACTGACATTGCTATATGCTAGATAGTGTTCCAAATTCTGATGTCTGTGTATTATCACACTTAATTCTCACAACAAATCTGAAGGTGGATACTATTATTATGTTTACTTCATAGCGAAAGACCTGAGATGTTAAAATCAATAGCTATTGCTGTGACTTGGTCACACAAAGTTTTAATGGTAAAAATGCTATTTTCCTTTATGCTGGCTGATGCCAGAGCCTCTGCCCTTCATCTGTATGGTGGACCACTAGCTTCTTTCCTCTGTGCGTTACTGTTGGATTAAATGATATAATATTATGTGTAAGTTCTTCCAAAGAGGCTGTCCTTATAAGGAGCGCGTCTTAAAGGGGCTTGTGACTTGGCAGTCAACTCCACCTGATTGGGGTCATTCTTGGGAACTTCATGGACTTAAGCTAATCAACCCCATCATCTGCAAAACTGGGAAAATATTCTCCAATTCTTAGAGTTGTTCTGAGCACTGAGATGATCGCAAGTGTCCTACACAGTGAAAGTGATGGTTTGCACTATGGAGGGACTTTTGTGTGCGTCACATACTTCAATGTATTTACTTGTTCTAATATTGTTATAAGGATTGTGATGACCCTTCACACAGGTGAGGGATCTGGGAGTTTGTGTGAGGTCTTATAATTGCTCAAGTTCGCATCACCTAAGTGCTGAAAACGGGCTTCCAGCTTCTGTTTGTCCAAATGTCTTCTCTTTCAGCCTTAAGTTTTCATGGGGCAGTAGTGCTCAAGGAGGCAGAGTTGTTATTAAAGTGTCGGCCATAGTGACAACATTTTTTGAGAAAGGGGATGAATGTTTTCAGGTGGGAGAAGACCTTTGAAGCCATGCTTCTGTCAATGCTGCAGATTTATACTGGTGGGCCAGAAATAGGGGGGCTTCTGGGAACCTGCATTTCTGTCCACAGCTGGGCAAACCCATGGAATTGACTGAGTTTGGGCATGCATCCTTCTCTTGGGGGAATGCAAGAAAAGACTAGAAATCCTGTTCATTGTTTTGAGTTTTGAGAAGTATAATAGTTAAATTAGATGGTCTTAATGTAGTTCTTCAAACTCAGAAAATCTATGTGTCTATGGCTTAATAATATATTGGAAAATACATTGAAGATTATAAAATACCACATAAATCTAAGAAATTATTATTACCTTCTTGAGCAGTAGCTTTGTTTAAAGGATCTGTGGGATAGGGGGGTAATACTTTTTAAAGTCTTCTCTGAAAATGGCTTTAGATCATTCCCCAGTCATTGCATTTCTTCATTTACAGCATACCATGCATTCCTTAGTTCATCAGTTTAATCACTCAGTCTTACAATAATTTACTTGTCAATGACAAGTAACAAGAAAAATCCCATCACCAGAAAACAAATTAAAACATCAACCACAAGCTTGGGATGAACCAAATGTCTAGAATCTGACTGCTAAGTGTGAGCCTGCGTTTTAAGTTTATTAGCGAAAGACTGGTTTTCTGA